GTATAGCCTATATATATATATATATACTCCCACGTTACTCCTAAAATCCCCAGAATTTCAAAAACAAAATCATTTCCTTAATAAAACTCATTTGTATAAACATGGAATCTTTAAATTTCCCCAACATCAAATCAGAGAAAGCAAATGCGATGATAAGGTACAAAAAACGTCAAAGAGTGACCATGTTTTTTCGATTCATCGAATTCTGCATTTTTTTCCTAGTAATCTCGAGATTTTCCACTCAATTACCACTCAATTATTTCAAGACCCTCATTACTCCTCGATTCGTCTTTGTCCTTGTAAACGCCATTGTTATCATCCTCTTCTTCAAATCAGGAAATTCATCCGCTAAAAATAGTTCCACGGACAGCGTTAAATTCGATTTATATGATGAGTACACACAAAAATATTCGATTTATTATGAACAGAGTATTGCCGTAAAAGAGGCTAATTGTGATCAACAGAGCATTGTAGCAGAAAGGCGATTAGAGAAGAGAATTCATCGTAGTCATTCGGAAAACACTTTATGTTTGGCTCACGATGAGAAAAAAACTAGAAAAAGAATGAACAGGTCAGCTACAATTGGATGCTTGAAAAATATAGATACTGAGAGTGTAAAACCAGCGATGACGACAAAATCATATTCATATCCAGAGGATGGGATGAGCAATGGCGAATTTAGGAAAACAATTGAGGCCTTTATTGCAAGACAACAAAGATTATTGAAGGAAGAAGAGTTAATATCTTGAAAAAATTAACTATAGTGATCGGAAAAAAAAATTAGTTAAGAAAATTTATAGCTATTTCAATTTAACTATTTAAAAAAAGTGACAAAAATAAGTTTGTGCATAGTGAAAAGTTAACTTGCATAAAATCAGGACCTAATTGCTTATATATATTTAAATTTGGTACATTATCAAATTTTGGCGCCTTTAGATATACGCTTAGGTGTAATTTATTCTATATGTCACCATATTTAAGTGAATTTAAATGGACGGATTAGGTTAAAAATGGGGGATATTGAAATGGTTTGAAATAAAAGTTGAGTTGGGTCTTGATCAGTCCAAATTTACTTTGGGCTAAAATGAGCCCAATTTTATTCGGTTAATCTCAATTATTTAACGTATTGATATTTAACTTTTATAATCACAATTTGAATTTCAACTCAATTTTTTAAAAGAAAAAGTAACAAATTGATAGATAAACCCTAAAAGATGTTAAAGAGATAATAATTCATACCTTAAATATAGGAACATATCTTAATAAAAAGTTCTAAAACGGATTGAAATTGGAGATTGAATTGAATTCAATTGAGGATTCTCTTCAAATGTGTTATGCTTGAATGGATTGAGATAGAACCAAATTCAAATTATCTTGACACCAACTCTTGAAATTCTGGCGATTGGGTGGGTTACGTATATTTGAGTTCATTTTTGACATCCCTAGTAGTATGTATCTAGTGTAATTCGCATGTATATGAAATATATACTAGTCTCATTCACCTTTCTTCTCAATCTCGCTCACCTCTCTTTCAGTTCATGAGTGTCTGGTAGCAAAAATGCATATATTAAAATGTAATTTGCTCAATATATGATAGAGAACTCTTAATTAGTGAGCTACGTAATATTTTAAAACTAATAACAATATTTATTTTAGTGAAATAAGTCCAATTATATAAAATTTCCTATATTTAATCCCCATGATTTTTATACTTTTAATATTGAGAAGATAATTACTAATCAAATCTAAAAAATCAAAAGGTGAAATTATAGAGACAAGTTCAATGATTTTGGCCGTGTAATAGTCTTGAGATGTTAAAAGTGGGAGTTGTGTGGTTTCTTTTATGAGAAAAAAAAAAAGAAGTGGTTTCTATTGCTTCCTTTTGCTTTATAACGAAAATGCTGCCCCTTTTGACGGTCTCAAATATCATACCGAAAAGTTTTTTCGTTTGAACTATTGTTTTTGAGTTTTAATATTTAAAATTATTTTATCTGTCTCAATTTATTTGAATTTGATATAAATTTAAGGGGGAAGTGAAGGCTTTGTTAAAATTGATAGTGTTGTTGATTCAAGAATTGCTAACTTTATTGGGAAAACATTTGCCGAACTCAAAGGACAAAGCAGTCTTAATTGAATTGTTATAATTTATAATATAAACATAAAAATTAGTCCGACCGGTAACGATTTGGGTATATTGTAAATGTTGTTAGTGTATCTTTATTAAAGATTTTGGATCTTAGCTTTTGAAATGAAATTCTTTAATATAAATATTATATTTTAATTGAGATTTTTAATTAATTGTATTTATAAAAGACTAACACAAAATATTAAATAGACAAAAAGTAAGATTGATGATATTGCTTGATAGTGAGTTTCACACTTTCACTCACTTCCGATCTTAAAGATAAGAGATATAAAAAAATAGTTTATTAATATATCGAGTATTTATATCAAATCAATATATGAATATCATGCGTTGAAATTTATTTTTTATTTTATTCTGTTAAATTATATAATAATAAAAATTATGTTGACTTGATACAACGCGAATTAATTTTTTAGCAACAGTTCTTATATATTTTGTGTAATTTTTTATTTAAAAAAATAATACTAGTAGGAAAACCGGCATGCGGCAAATGACAATTTCTTAGTTTGTAAGTAAGGAGGCGGGGCTTCCAATAAAATATGTACACTTGAAAATATATTAACTAAAACATATATTATGGGAAGTTTCCATGTAAGCTATAAAAAAGGAAAAAAATAATAATAATCCGGTACAGACGTACCGTATGCTAATTAAGCATATACTTAATATATTTAACAATTATTACCAGTACAGTGTACTAATCATACCTATTTTTGGCATGTTGCTTTAGCTTGATAATACAAAGGTATTATTTGGACAATTATTAGTTATTACCAAAAATATATATATATATATTATTAAATATTTATATAGAAACATTCATATATAGCCACTTAAAAATAATTTAATTATTTTTCATAACTATAATTTCCGTAACTATATGTTATATGGAGGATAGATGCGAGCGAGACTAGAGAGAAAAGAGAGAGGCGATAGAGGGGGATAAGAGTGAGAGAAAAGTGAATTATATATGTATATCGGTTAGATAATTGTATATTATACATATGCATTTTGTATATATGTCAAGCGAGATTGGGAGATGAAAGAGAAAGGGGGGCGAGATTGGGAGAGGGAGGAGAAAGGCGAGTGAGAGAGGGCATAAAGTGAGAGAGAAGTTTATTTTATATGTATATAGGTTAAATAAGTGTATATTATACATGCGCATTTATATATTCTAACGAATTATACATTATACAAAAGTGACTAATTACACAAACTCGAGGTCAACCAACATAATTAATGTATAATATTAGTCGCGAGTGATAATTATAGCAAACTATATATATAATGAGTAATTAAATAGGATAAATTTGTTTAATTGCGTAATTTTCCCATTCATTTATGACTTCCGTGAATATATTTGATTAGAAGAAAACTTAATATTTCTTCAAATTCAATCTGTTTGCCTTACTTTATTTCTTTATAATTTGTCTAAAAAAGAGTGTATCTTTTCATTTTTTGCAACTCTTTAATTCTAATTTTTCATATTATATGTCTAAAATTATAAGATTAAATGACATTTTAATGCACATAATTTTCGTTTAAGACATAATAATTAAACTTACTTTCTTAGATTTTCTTTTACAAAATTAAAATCAATAAATAAACAAATTAAAACAGATGAATAACAATTTCAATACACAAATTGAAAAAATCATCATTATTGAAGATTATAAACATAGATATTTGATAGAAGTGAATAACGTGAATGTATAACACATGTAGAAGTGTGCATACTTTATCTAACAAATAAAGGTCATAAACTTATAAAATTATTAATCAGAAAAAGTTAGCACTTGGAAGAAAAAAAATTGTATTATTTTCATGAATTAAGAAATTTATTAATCTCTTCCAATGTAGCCTAAAAAAGCCTATAAAGAAAAAAGATAAAAGTGAAAACGACAAGCATGTTTTAGTTCAACAATTATAGAAAGAAATTATTTACACTTGTATAGCCTATATATTCTCCTCAAAATCTCAACAACAAACGTAAAAGATTAACATCCATAGTCAAAACTTGATCCAAATACATTATTTTGGTTTCGAGTGAAAGTATTTATTAATTATACATGGAATCCTTAAATTTCCACAACATCAAATTGGAGAAAGCAAATGGTAAAAAGCGTCAAAGAGTGACAATGTTGTTTCGACTCATCGAATTCTGCATATTTTTGGCCATACTATCAAGATTTTCCATTCCATTGCCACTCTCGACAGATTATGTTGGTGTCGCCCTCATTAGTCCTCGATTCGTCTTTGTTCTTGTAAACGCAATTGTAATCATCCTCTTCTTCAAATCAGGACATTCATCTGCTATAGATGTGTCCACGGACAGCATTAAATTCGATTTATATGATGAGTACACACAAAAATATTCGATGAACAATGAACAGAGCATTTCTGTTGAAAAGGCTAATTGTGATCAACAGAGCATTGTAGCAGAAAGGCGATTAGAGAAGAGAATCCATCGTAGTCATTCGGGAAACTCTTTATGTTTGGGTGGTGATGAGAAAAAAAGAATGACGAGATCAGCTACAGTTGGATGCTTGAAAAATATAGACACTGACAGTGTAAAACCAGCGATGACAACAACCTCGGATGGGCTGAGCAGTGTTGAATTCAGGAAAACTGTTGAGGCGTTTATTGCAAGACATCAAAGATTAGTCAAGGAAGAAGGGTTTTCAGTTTTCAACATAAGAGATAGATAAATTACAAGTCATATCAACGAAGAAATAACAGAGCACATTATGTGATCAGATTTTGTTTTTTTTTGAGATAACAAATGTAAGTGTATGGACAAAGATCCAGCATTCACAATATATTAACAAGTACCAATTCTATGGTTGAGTATAAATGGTCACTTTGGACGATCATAGGTTCCATGTCTCTCGCTTGCACCACCTTCCAATATACACATACGACACTCGTACAAATTGAGTGACAACCTTGAGGAACTTTTGTAATTTTCTGACGAAAGAAAGTCGCTTGACACCCGGTAGTATTTGGCACTGATTAAATTATGAGAATCTTCAATTAAGATAGAAGTGAGCCTGAAATGTGTGGTAATGGAAATCGATGCCTTGTCAAATTTGTATCTGATTTTGATCACTTCCATGGAAGGAAAAAGAAAAGTTTCACCATACAATATTCACAAAATTAGGTACCATATTTACTGTAATCATGAAAGTAACTTTTAATGACGTGAATTAATTTATTTTGATTAATTAAATCGATTAATTATTTGTTTTTTTATATTGACCAAATATATAATTTCAAGACTAATAATTTAAAAAAAGTAAAAAAAAAAATTCTTTGGATGGATAGGAATGTATGGAGATGGGGAGTAATACGAGAACTTTTATTTTTCTTAGTAATATGAGAAGAAACTTCTACTGGTAAAAAAGAAAACTCATGGCAGAAGAGTTCACCTTTTTTCTTTTTTTATTAATGAAAATAATGAAGGCTACTAAAAAGTAGAAACATCTTTTGAAGTTCAGCAGAAATTAGGTAAAGTCTAAGAAGACGGCTAAAGAGCAGAGGTAACTATTGCTCTAAAGTTTCAACAAATTTTTCACAAATAAATTCTTAGAAATGTTTATTTTCACTTTATTAAAAATATTATGATATATAAAGGAATAATGGTATAGAATTACAAATTAACAATGTAAAATAAATACAGTAGATATCATTAAATGGTTTATTTGTATTTTATAGAAAACTGTGTCGCCTCTCTTTCTCATATTCTCTCGCCATTCTCGCTCCTTGTCTCTCGCTTCATATAATATACACATGCAAATACATATATCTCCGTCCTATACATTTATAAGTATACATTACAAATATTTCTTTGCTCAAGTCTCTTTTGTCTTTCTCTCTTTCTCGTTTTATACAATTCGATTCAATTGTATATTTCCTGTCCAAGTCTCTTTTCCCTTTCTCTCTTTCTTCTTTTATACAATTAAAATTGTATTTAATTTCTCTCTTTCTCATTTTATACATTTCGATTCAGTTGTATACAAACTCAAATTCTATACAAATATACAAACATATACATTGAATTGAGAGACTAACAACAATTTATACAAATGGCCTATCAGCAAATTTATACAAATTTGAAGAGGAGCTAACGAATTATACAGTTGCTTCTTTTTTATATATGTATAGCAAAATAGACATAACTTTCAGTTGTATATGCAGCGCAATTATTCAAACTTTGCTATAACAGATTAATTTAAATTTTTTATTTGCTATATGTGAAAGTTAATCCCAAATAAAATTGTCACTAAATATACTTTTTTCGGTTAAAGTTACACGATTCTTTTATTTTGATTTATCAAAAGGTACTTAATTATAGATGTAGATTAAGCAAAAAAGGATTTTTTTTTGAATGATACTTTTGTTCAAGGAAATAAGCAATTATTCAAATTGTAAGAAGAACGATTATAATGAATCGACTCTTGTACCTGATCATTTATTAATTGTAAGAAGAATTATTATATTGAATTTGACTCTTATACTTGATCATTTATTAATTGTAAGAAGAACTATTATATTGAATTGATTCTTATGCTATTTTAAAAAAATATATTCTTATTATTAGAATATCTAAAGGACGTACAAAGCGTGTACGTTAAAGTTAATTTTATTGAAATGTCATTATCTAATAAGTTGGTTTAATAAACGAACAAGGTCTTAGTTAATTGATTGTATCTATTATCTCTTCCAATAAAGTTTGCACTTAGAGATAATTATAATGTTAAACTATTGTTAGAATATAAAAGGAAATTAATCTTACCTTTTGTTTTATATTTTTAAATCAATATAAAATTTGGAGCCTACTAAGTTTTCAATGTTTCCCACTATGAGATCGGGGCTCCGAAAGCCGCCCTCAAGCCCAATCATTCATATATTGACCCAGTCAATGGGCCCATGGCCCGCCCCAATTTAACAAATCATGAGAGGCGAAAGGTTTTTGATATATATCTCAAATTTACGATTTAAAATTAATATGTTTTTTGTTATAAAAATGTATGAGTATACATGATTTTTTTGTCAAAGTTGAGAGATATTTTATTTTTTCAAATATTTTCTTTTTAAGTTTTATATTCAGCGGCTAATTTGAGTTTTTATATATATCTCTATTATTATTATTTGAATTGTGATTATATTGTAATTTATTTTTACACGTGTTAAAAAAATGATGAGATATTTATAATAAATTTCATAAAAAAGTCAGTGAAAACATTATAATATAAATCAAAAAATATTAAAAATTGTTTTTGTGGCTCCCCAGTATATAATTGAATCAAATGTATAACAATAGGAACATATAGAAATTACTTTATAATGAAAGGAATGTCAATTCTTATATCACAAAATTAAATTATATATAGAGTAGGCCATTTTCCCATTCAAGAAATACAATATACTTAGTCTTATCAATTATTTTCCTTTTTTCTTTTCAACGAACTGTAAAAAAGTAATAAAACAAATAAAAAAGTGAGTATATGGGGTCCAGTCCCAATTATTTATACCAAGTAGTAGTGAGATGTTAAATGAAGGATTTTTTTTTCCCTCATTACTTCGTGGTAAAATATTTCACTCATTTTCGTTTATGCGATGGTATTTCACTAGTATATAATTTTAAAATAAAAGAAAGATTTAAAAATTTGTGATCTTAACATTGGTTTATCAAATGCAAGAGGATTATTTTTGGGTGGTATTAGTTTTACCTTAGAATTAGCAAACTTTCTTGGAGGGTGTTTTCGAAATCAAATTAAATAATTTTTTTTTTATAATTATTATAATATTGTTACGTAAAATTAATTCCGACCATATTGTGCCCACCATAATATAAAGATGTGTATTTTTCGTGTGAGAGTTTTATAACCAAAAAAAGAAAAACAGAAAAAAAAAGTAGGAAAACCATAATATGACAAATTCAATTTCTTAGTTTGTAAGGAAGGAGATGAGAGTTTTAATTTTGTAAAAAAAAATGTAAGCTTGGATATAAGTTTGCCATCTGGAAATACATTAACTAACTCATATATTATTGATGATGAATTAGAAGTGTCCAAAGTGTCAAGTCACCTCATTGGACAACAAGTTGCCAAATAATGGATTTAAAATCTAGTACTCACTGAATAGTATATCAATATTACAATTAACAGGATGTCAATTATTCTCACTAAATGGATAAGGTTACAACCTTTTTAAGTGCTAGTTTAGGGATAAAAGATAATTAATTTTAAATTAATTTCAAGATTTATTTCAAAATAAGTACTTTATTTCATAGTTGAATAGAGTGAAAATCTTAAGCACTCATACTTTGTTTCTGATTTGATGTATTTAAAAAACAACTTTTAAACTCTCTTTTATATTCCACATTCAATCTGTGTAATAATACATCACATAACTTGTATCAATTGTTATAATTCATACATAGTTTCGAAGTTATCTCTACTTCGTAGTCTAAGCCTTAGTAGACACTTACTCTATATCAATATTAATACAAAAAAAAGTTACCAAATATCAAAAAAAATATAGTTAAAATACACGTAAATTAGCTCCGAACAATATAGATAAAAGATTTTTTCCTTAATCCATGTAATGCTGGCAAGATTCGAGGACATCAAGTGGCCATTTAGTGCAAAACATTATAGGATAATCCATACTGCACTTTCTCATCTGTTGTCTTTTTTTTTTCTCTCTGTTTCGTAGTTTAAATGAAAGCAAATTAAAACATTAGGGTCCATCACTTTTATGTGAATTATTTGAATCAAGAATCATTCTTTTATCTGAATAATTGAGTTGGAAATGCCTATATCCTATTCTAAATTATTATTATATGCACTTGTATATCACTTTATTATAAAACCCCATCAATTGAGTAAGTGAAAAACGACAAGAATCTATTTCAAATACAAACACAAAATGAGAAGGATCACCAATCTTTTAGCCGGACTGGTTGAAATATATCCATTATTTTATCAATAATTTTATGGCCCGTTTGGATGGGTTTAATAAAAGCAGCTTTAAAAAGGTATTTTTGAAAGTGCTGAAACTTATTTTTAAAATAAGCAGTTATGCGTTTGGATAAAAGTGCTGAAGTTAAAAAAAATTGTTGATGTGTTTGGCAAATAAGTGCTGATAAACAGCTTTTTAAATCAAAATGTCTGAAATACCCTTAAAAGATGTTAACATAATAAAAGTTAATTGATTTATATTTTACAGCCATAAATAATTATATTTTGCTATCATTCATATATTTCTTTCTCATCACAAATTATTTATAAGAGGAATATAAACTTATTATAGATTTTAAAGATATATAATTTGAATAGATTAAAGAACAATTTAAGATTTTATTTTAGTTTCATCCATAGGTAATAATAATTGTCTACCATTCACATATTTATTATCACAAATTATTTATAGGAGGAATATAAATTTTTATTTAAGTTATATGTGCAACTTATTTTATATTTTATTAATATATAATTTGAATAGATCACTTGAAAGATTTAAGATTTATTTTATTTTCATTCATTAGTAATAGTGATTGTCTATCATCCACACGTGAAAAGGAAAAAATAGAAGAAAGAGATGTTAGAGTTATGTGGATAACTTCGAGATCGTATAAAAATATTAAGGGCAAAAAGGTAAAACTGTGGTCAACTTAAAACAGCTTATAAGATGGAAAAAAAAAGCACCCTTATCCCAACTTTTAACTTTTGGCTTAAAATAAGTTTTTTTTAACTTAAAATAAGTTATTTTGAATGTTGCCAAACAACTAAATAAGTCAAAAACCAGCTTTTAAGTCAGTTTGAGCAGTTTTTAAGCTAAGCCAAACAGGCTCTTAGATTTGAATTCTAAAAATAAAACTCTCTTAGCGAGGAGTGTATCAGCCTATTAATAATTTTATCGATCAATACAAATTTAAATTAAGTTATAGCCTCCTAATTAAATTTTTATTCAAATTCAGATCACTAGTCTATGAGATTTTAATTTTAAACTCATGAAGACTATGTGCCACTTTTAGATTTTGGAATATTGATCTTATTTTTATAAAGTGATCAACTTCTTCTGCAGAAAGTGACTATTTGTATAAATCTAGTTATTTCGAATATGTCCTCAAGCAATAGAAAATAAAAAGCAAAAAAGATAAATAAATAAATAAATAAAGATTTATACTTCTACTGCTATATATATAACACTCCAATGTTGCCTTTAAAAACCACACAATCTCAAACCAAACATATTATAACCAAAATTTTATTGAAAAAAAATTAAAATGGAATCGTTAAATTTTCACAAAATCAAATTAGAGAAAGCAAACGCTATGTTAAGGTACAAAAAGCGTCAAAACGTGACAATATTGTTCCGTTTCATAGAATTCTGCATATTTTTCGCCATAATCTCAAGATTTTCTACTCGATTTCCACTCAATTTCAAGCTCTCGATCGAGTGTTTCAAGGGACTTGGTGTTACCCTCATTAGTCCTCGATTCGTCTTTGTTCTGGGAAACAGCATTGTCATCATCCTCTTCTTGAAATCAGGACATTCATCTGGTAAAGATGGATCCACAGACAACGTTAAAATGGATTTGTACGATGAGTACAAGCAAAAATGTTCCATGAACTATGAACAGACCAAGAAACAGAGCATTCTAGCAGCAAATACTTATTGTGAACAGAGTAAAAAACAGGGGAAACAGAGTATTCTAGTAGAAAACGCTTACTATGAGCAGAGCAAGAAACAGGGGAAACAGAGCATTCTAGTAGAAAACGCTTACTGTGAGCAGCGCAAGAAACAGGGGAAACAGGGCATTCTAGTAGAAAACGCTTACTGTGAACAGAGCAAGAAACAGAGTAAACAGAGTATTCTAGTAGAAAATGCTTACTTTGAGCAGAGCAAGAAACAGGGGAAACAGAGCTTTCTAGTCGAAAATGATTACTGTGAACAGAGCAAGAAACAGAGGAAACAAGTGCAGAGACAATTAGTAGAAAAAAGACTTAACCGTAGCCATTCAGAGAGCTTTACCAGTATATCTCATGGTGAGAAGCCTAGAAAAGAATTGATCCGGTCGGCTACAGTAGGGTGTTTGAAAGTTATACGCACTGACAATGTAAAATCGGTGGAGGATGAAATGAGTAACGAAGAATTCAGGAACACTGTTGAAGCATTCATTGCAAGACAACAGAGGTTTTTAAGGGAAGAAGAGTTATTTTCATCTGTTGTATTAACATAAACAGAGACATCAAGTGTTTTAACTAATATACATTATTAGGTTGTTGAAATGTAAATTAAAGAACAAAGATAAATCTCTAATAGCAGGAGCTGCAATTCTACCTACCATATGATTTTTATCACAACTCTCAAGCTTTTGTCAACATAAGATTGAGTTATTTTATCAGATTTTGCTGTCCGAGATATACGAATCTTAGATATATACATTAAAATTAAGTGTAATTTGTTTTAATTGCACTATATTAAAATAGATTTATATGTATATAGAATACATAATAAAGTCACTCGCCTCCTACGTCTCTCTCCCTATTATAGTGTATTTATAAGCAAAAATATGTGTATCCAAATGTATCTTTCTCAATGTATATGTATGGTAGAAAACTCCAACTTCTTTTGTTCACTTTATGTGAGGTAGTTTAATTTGACAAAAAGTTTACGAAAGAAAGAAAAACCGTTAAAACTTGTAATTCAAAATGAATGATAGAAAATTATGTGATTGTAAATCATTTTATTAAGGGTAAAATAGATATTTTATAGTCAGATTGTTACTTAATGTATAAATATGTCATTTTTTCTTAAATAAATTAAAAAAATAAATTAAATAAATTAAAATAAAAAATATAAAAATACATAATATTTAAAAATATAAATAATAATGTTATGAAACTATACGAAATTAAAAGAAGAAATTAGAGAGAAGAGAAAATATCTCTTATTCATAATATATTCATGATTTATACATCTTTGACAAATCTTATTTACAATAAAGAAAAAAAATTTTATTTATAGGAAAAACTTTACTGAGTCTCCAAATATAATTCATAACCATGTTACACCATTAGACATTTACTGTAATATAAATTATTTATAACGAATAATAATATATATAGCAGTAAAATTTTAAAATAGTGGAGTAGAAAAATGAGCAAGGAATATATCAAAGTGGTGTCCATCTCGATATACTCTAAGTCCACCGTGTGATATCGAGTGTGCATAATATCCACTAGCCAGAATCAACAGAATATTTAATTATGTCATACACAATAATAAATCCATTTTAATGCAATTAACGTCTCATTTTTTTTTCAAAAAAAACAATTATTCTAGAGAAAAAGCACAGGAAAACAGATGGAATATTTAGTTACTCACTCACTTAGTAAAACAATTATAATGCAATTAATTTCTGATTATTTTTTTAAAAAAATATTCTTCAAGAAACATAGGAAAAACATACATAATATTTAATTGACATACACAATAGTAAATCCATTATAATGCAATTAATTTTTTATTTTTATAAAAATATTATTTGTAGAAGAAACACAAGAAAGCATTGTCCTCTAAGCAAAAAATCATCCACGATATCACGATTGTCCAAAACTTTTAAGAAAGTAAGATTAAAATAAATAAAACACCTTTTCTTTTTTTGAAAATAATTTATACTAAGAAATTAGTTAAAGCATACGAGGTTGATTTATTAAATTAATAACTAGGTCTTATTTAATTGATTGTATCATTATCTCTTTATAAAAAGGTTTTTTAGAATCACAAAAAGTTTGTACTAAGATATCGAAAGATAATATACTTATAATGGATTCAGAATTTTTTTTAATAGCATCAAAAAAATAAACATAAAGTGTTTAAAATTTGAATTTCAAGATAGATTTTAAATTTTCTCAACTACTAATTAAGTTTAACCTTTAATTTTATGTTTAGAAATTTCAAAATATATCTATCGGTATAATTTTTTAAAAAAACAAGGAGACACACCCACAAAATCCGCCCCTGCATTAGTTGCACTTAAACATGATTTATTAGTTAAACTATTATTAGGATAGAATAAAAGAATAATCTTGCCTTTTGTCTTGTATATTGTTTATTCATATAAAATTTTGATCTGATTTGGAGTCTACTCAGTTTTCAAAAGGACAAAAAAAGAAGAAGATTTAATTCATGATGTGCACTTTATTTAGGCTTTGCATCTATTTATTATTATTTGGGCATTTTACAGAGATCTGGGGTTAAGTATCTTTTATTTCAGAAGTTCATTAAATAACAAAAAAAATTAAATTTTTATTATTAATAGATTTATTTTTTGATTATCTCATAGATTGTTAATGATACATTATTTAATGAAAAAATGTATTCGAGAGGATATAGAAATGTATCCAAGAGGGAATAAATATTCGAGAAAGGATATATGTACCTGAGAGGACATAAAAATTATTAAAATAAAGATAAAGATATATGTGATAAGTGATAGGGATATATCCGAAAATAAATTTTTATATTTTTTCTGCAATATTCAAATAAAAAAAAAGTACGCAAGTGTAACTAGAGAAATATCTTTTCTCTTTTTAATGAGAACTAAGATATTGGTTTGTCATTTATTAAAATAAATAAATTATAGTTTTTTGTTTTATGAACTATCGTGAAAGAAAAAAAAGTATCCTTTATTGTATTATTATTTTTTTTTTAAAAAATAATATTTTTCGCGCTAAGCACTAAAATTTAGCGTCGGTAGAAATTTTCAAATTGAGATTTTCAAGGGGGCAAAGTGCAAATATTAGGACTTATTGATGTGGCTGCTTAAGGGGGATGTTTCCCGTTAATCCATAAAATCGGCTGATAATTTAAATAATTAAGCAAATTGAGTCCTTTAGAGAAAAAGAAATAATTAAAAAAAGAATACAATATAGTTCTTAAATTATTTGTTTTAATTGATCAATCATTCACTGAATTTGTCCACTCAATGAACCCCACGGTATGCTTCTTAATTTTTAAGCTTTTTATAACTCATATAAGTTCCACTAATATTAGTAAATTTTTTTATCTTTTAAATGATTTTTACAAATTAACTATATATCGTAGGGTTAAACTTTAATTTCTTTTGATAGGTTCTAAGCTCAATAATTTAGGCCATTTAGTATAGAGATGTTAAGAGTAGAAGATATGGGGTCTTAGCTAAATAATTTTTATAAATATACGATCATCGATCTTTAACACTTAATCATGATAAAATAATATATATTTTTACTTTAATTTATAATGTATAAAGTTAAATTGGATTTAATTTGCAAGGTAATATTTTTGAGTGATACAAGTTAAGAAATGATTAACATTGTTTGGAAGATCTTTTCTATACCTAAGTACAAAATCGATATTTTATTATTAAATTGCCACGTAAATTCAATCCAACAATTAAGAGCCCACCATGGTTAAAAGATAAGTAGTTTGCTTGTGATATGTTTTATAAAAAAAAAAAGTAGGAAAACGGTTATGTGGATGACAAATGATTAGTTTCTTAGTTTGTAAGGAAGGAAGTAGGACTTCCAATAATAATAATATATGATACAAGTTTGCCACCTGGAAATACATTAGCATATATTATTGATGAAAGTGGCATATGTCAGTTCATTATTATTATTATTTTTTATAAAAGAAAAAGGTTAATCTAGCAAATTAGCCAAATAATGGAATGAAAATCTAGTACTATAGTGTATAAATTCAGTTCCCAACTAATGGATAAGTTTTACTTCTCATGAGACTATAATAAAATAAAAAAATGTGTTTTTTTAAGAGGAGATAAAAAATTTTAAGATCGAATTTTATCACGCTTTGAAAAAATTAGGCTACATGTGAAGCGGTGCTTTTTTAACTTTCTTAATTTGTTTTAATTTTGAAAATTTTATAAATATGAATTTTTAGTGCAGATGTTTATCCGGTTATTATTTGATACGAAATTTCAAACGTAAAGAAAAATTTTAAATTTTATGATTTTAAACTTAAAAATATTAATAATAATTAAATGACTTTTAAATTATAAAATAAATTGAGCGACTTTACATATTATTTCAATAATCGATGTACTAGAAACTTTGAAGGTGACACAAGCATTCAGGTGCAGCTTATATGCACCCTGTCAATAAGTTAATATGATAAAAATTTTTTTTATAGGAAATTAGGATTCATCTGATTTCTCTTTAATGAAAAATTATACTGTCTTACTTATATATAATTCAAATTTATCTTTTATGTAGACATTATTGAAACCATCCTCCTTTTAAGTAACTTTTTCATTTTCATATTTAAAATTTCTTAATAAAAATCCGAACTCCAAACTGTGATTACACAATATTTAAATTCATGCAGCACGCACCATTCCTACCCATGTAGTGCAAAGCATTATTATAGCATAATCCAAACAGGACTTTCTCACTTGAATTGAATGAGAGCAAACATTAGGGTCCATCCCTCATGTGTTTCATTCATTAGAACAAAGAATAATTCTTCTTATCCAAATAATTCATGTGTTGGAAAGTGCTTATACCATATTCTAAATTATTATATCCACTTGCACACCAAATAGTATCACTTAAAACCAGCAAGTCAGTTGCTGCTATGCCAAACAACATAGAGGCAATAGGAATAAGGAATTGTTATGTATTATTTACCAAAAGCACTATAATTATTCTTTTAAGACATGAATCGAATAAGTTTCCTAAGTGATAAAAGTGAAAGGGGGTTGTTTGCTATTGTGCGATATACTGTTGTGTTATCTTCTATTTCGTTGTTAATTTTGTGATAAATTATATTGAGATGAGTAATTAATATCATGATAAGTTATCTAAATTACAAAGTGAACTAAATATCTGAATTAGTTATTTTGGGATAAAACAATAAAAAAGAATTAAATTTTTTTTTATGTAATGCATATTATTTTTAATATATTGAGCTAAACAGTCGATAAAATATAATACTAAGATACCTAATCTAAAGTCTTCTAAGTTTAAACCAAACGATCAGTGTTGACGGTGACAGTCCCTTTGGAGTTTGGACTAAAAAAATATGAGAATTGAAACTTTTTTACTGAAATGTGAAACGAATAAAAAAAATATTAAAAGTGAAAAATGAAAGAATCTATTTCAAACACAAAATTATAGATGAAAAAAGAGGCATGGTGGATGGTTGGTTTTACAAAAATCCTGAATTTGAATTTAAAACTTCAAACTTGGTGCCACTTTTAGACTTAGACCATTGATCTAATTCTGAAAAAGTGATCAAATTCTAAATAAAATTGATCGCTATTTTTGACACAAATTTAAATTAATTAAGCTAATAAATTTTAAATATGTAGCTAGTTTGAAGTTTCTTATCCGTTCTCTTAT